AGGGTATAAAACTAGAACAAGGAAGCATCTTACAGTATGATGATGATATTCTAGTTTGCAAATCCATTCAGGAATTAGCACTTCAGAAACTTTCAATTTTCGAGTTAAGATAAAGTTTTCAAACAAAAAGGCTTAGATAGCCTTTCAAAAAATTCAATATTTGGGATATAGTCTTACACCTGGGGAATAATAGCTACTTAGGGTCCCGATTCAGGCTATGTGTGATCTTGGGCCTTGTCTTAGTCTCTTTTCTTTCATTGCTGAGAGAAAATACCCAATGCCCAAAATGAAGGAAGGAAAGGTTTATTTAGCTCACAGTTTGTGGAGGTTTCAGTCCATAATCAGCTGGCTCTAAGGCTGGATGCCATGGTGAAGAACAATAGTTCAAAGTGGCAGAAGACAGGAAAAGCAACAGGAGAAAAAAAGGGAGGGGGGAGAGCAAGCCTCTTTTGCTCCCTTATATCGTATTCAGGCTACCCACCCTAGGGTGAGTCCTCTGTACCCTAGGATGCAGAACTGATGAGTCACTTAGTTAAGTCAAAACTTCTCAAGTCAATGAATCAACCGTTACAGGTCTCCTGCTACCAAGAAACAGCTTTGTCCCTTCCTGGGAATGCCAGCTTTTTGTAGGATCTTACTACCTAATTTTGGACCAATGGGAAAGCCTTTGTATGAGGCTGTCAAAGGCCCTGAGTCTGTGCCCCTAAAATGAGCATAAATGACTGACAATCCCTTTAGGGAAATAAAGTATGTCTTTACTCCAGGTCCAGCAATGGAGATACTAGACTTCAAAACGCCCTTTTGTGGGGGACAGACAAGGATTCACCAAGAAGCAAGCCCTCCCTGAGAACCAGCATCATGCATGGGAGAGCAGCAGTGGGGGACATCCAGACCTAAGCCTTTCCGCGTGAGTCAGCAACATTTGAGGATTGCAGTGGAGGGAGAACAGGATTCACCAGGGAGCAAGCCCTCTCTGTGAACCAGTGCCATGTGAGGCCGCTGCCAGCAGGGGGACAGCCAGACCCAAGCCCCTTTGGGGCTGCATGCTGGCAAAGCAAGAAGAGCCAGATGGCAGACACACATACACACCTTAAGCAACCAGCTGATCCAGAGAAACACAGGCTGTGATGATAACTATGGAGGTGAAATGCAATCTGACGCTTGTGGTGTTTGGTGTTTCACTGACCTTGCAGGTCTAGGGCCGGTGGTCTGATCACCCATTCAGGGGATAGCAGAACACAGTGTGGCATCTAGGGAGATCTCCTTCTGAGGGTGGTAGCCACTGTTGATTCCCTACTGTCTTGTTTTGAAGTCCTGTATCATTTTCATTTTCTTGTTGGACTGCAGTTTGTTCTGTTTGGTTTTGTTTTGTTATATTCAATGGCATGAGAAGCTATTTCAAAGATAGCAAGATCTATTATGAAAGCCATTTTGGATTTATTATTGTCATGTTTTGAAGTCTCTTTTTACATTCCTTTGTTTTTATTGGTTCTATTCTGTTCTGTTCTTCTACTAAGTCTGAAGCTATCTGCAGCTATTTTGAAGACAACAAGAGGCATTATGGTAACTTTTGTTGATTTTGTATTGTTTTGAAGTCCTGTATTCCTTACATTGATTTGTTTTGATTGGCTTTATTCTCCTTGGTTTTATCCTCTTTAAAATAAAAAGAAAAATAGCCCTTCTTTCTCTGTGTACTACAAAAGTGAGGAGTCATCTTAGGGGTTTTGACGCAAAGGTTTGGGTAAGAAGTTTGCCTGATGACAAACTCTTCAAAAAAAGTTAGGTGGAGTAGCTGCTCGACATCCACCCTGCTACAGAGCAGCAGCAGCTACAGCTGCACTAACAGATGAAGCTGGAAAGTCAGCTTTGGGCAGAGACTGCAAGTCCTGACTCCTCATGTCAGGGCTGTTCTGGAGACAAAAGGTTTCTTGTGGTTAACAGGAAAATGACTGTCATGGTTTATGTTTGTGTCCCCCAGGACTCATGACTTTGCATTGTTCATTTGTGATGCTTCATTGTATAGTGCTTGGGTTGATTGTGTCAGTGCTCCACCCACATAGGGGTGGAGCCAGGATGTGATGTAATGGCAGGAAGAAGGTGTTTCTTTCTCTTTGCTGGTTTGAGTTTGCTGCTGGCGGCCGCCATGAACTGCAGCCCAGCCATGCCTGCCTGTCTTGGAGACAACTGAGTGTGGACTGAAACCTCCAAAAACTGTAAGAAATAAACCTTTCCTTTCCCAACTTTGGGCTTCAGGTATTTTGTCTCAGCAATGAGTAAAAAGTAACTAAGACAGAATTTGGTATGGAGAGTGGGGTCGTTTGCTGTGACTATACCTGGCCATGTTTTTCAAGAGGTTTTGGAAATGGCTTGTGGGCGGAGTTTGGAAAGGTTTGGACATGTTGCCTGGATGCATAGAGCTGGAGCAGCTTAGGCTGTTCTGTAGAGGAGATTCTTGTCAGAGCTCAGGAGACCAGAAAGCTGATAGAAAGCCGGATGGTAAAGACCAGGCCTGGGAGGTTTCTGCTGGGAAGGACTGCATTGGTCGTTGGACTCCACATGATGTGTGTTATGGCTTAGCAGAAAGTTTGTCTGCATTTTGCTCCTGCCCAGAGACTTTGCCTGAGACTGAGACAAAGGGCAATGGACTGATTAATCTTGAAAAAGAAATTAAAAAAACAACCAAATGTTGAGGCTGTGCCCTGGCTATTGTTGGTGGCTTTCAGCCAGCTTTATGTTTCGAATCAGGAGCAGAGAACCCAGCAGGATAATTTATAATGCTGTGAGTTTGGCCAGAAGGAAAATTCCAGGAAGGGTGTGGATTGTAAAGACAGAGTTGAGATTTTGATTCCTGAGGAAAAACAGAGAGATAAGAAAGATTGCCCCAGAGTATCCCAGGAAGAAGGTCCCCACCCTGTGCAGCCTCACAGCAGAGATGAAAAATTTTGCTCAGAGGAAAAAGCTACAGAGTGCCATGCTCCAGAATGGTGACAGAGGCCAAGTGAGGTTCCAGAATGGCGGCAACACAGAGAAGCTTTTTCTCACAATCAGATAAACAGAGCCCTGCAATCCAGGCAACTGACCCCTACAGCCAAGAGAGAGAAAAGCCTGGCTACCACTTCAGCTAGCAGCAAACCTTGGCAGCATCCACAACATGCTGATTTTAGGTGCAAGGAAAATGCACAAATTCTGAGGTTAAGAAGGCTTCCACCTCGATTGCAAAGGGCCCAGCTGGCCATGCAGTGTGCCCCTGAGAGGGCAATTTGTGAAGATGTAAGGGTGAAGCCGAAGGTGCAGTGGAGACCCCAGAAGTTTGGAAAAGCCAGGAAAGTGGATGATCCAAGGAAAGCTGCAAAAAGCGAGCAAAGAGGATTTAAGAGAAAAGCTGCGGGAATTGAAATCGCTGGAACTGCACAGGGGATGGAATCACCCAAGGCTTTTGGAACTTGCAACCAGATTGCTTCAGATGCTGAGTGTAGAACTCTAGGACTTAATGTTTACCCTGCTGGATGTTGGAATTGCTTTGTTTTGAATGCTTTCTATTCTCCTGTTTGTAATTTTTGGAATGGAAATGTTTATCTTGTGCCTTTGCATTTCAGAAATGTTTAACCTTGTTTCTTTTGTACAGGGGCTTAGAGTTAAGAGTTTGCCATAGATCTTGGAGGAGACTTGGGACTTGGACTTTTCAGCAATGTTGAAGCTGTTAGGACTTTGGCAACTCTTGGAGGTGGACTAAATGTCTTTTGTATAAAGGATGTACATGAGTCCTGGGGGCCAGGGGTGGAATGTCATGGTTTATGTTTGTGTCCCCCAGGACTCATGACTTTGCATTGTTCATTTGTGATGCTTCATTGTATAGTGCTTGGATTGATTGTGTCAGTGCTCCACCCACATAGGGGTGGAGCCAGGATGTGATGTAATGGCAGGAAGAAGGTGTTTCTTTCTCTTTGCTGGTTTGAGTTTGCTGCTGGCGGCCGCCATGAACTGCAGCCCAGCCATGCCTGCCTGTCTTGGAGACAACTGAGTGTGGACTGAAACCTCCAAAAACTGTAAGAAACCTTTCCTTTCCCAACTTTGGGCTTCAGGTATTTTGTCTCAGCAACAAGTAAAAAGTAATTAAGACAATGACCTACCAAGTTCAAGGCCATACTCTTAGACACACTTGAGGCTATTATAAAAACTTGTTCTCCTATTAAGCACCAGGCATAACACCAAATTTTGTCATAAAGGTGCGGTATTGTAGGTATATAATGCCAATGTATATTCTTTAGGATATTTCTACTGATGAGTCAATTATTTTAATTTTATGAGTTTATTATATTAAGCAATAAACACTTAACAGGAAAAATATCAAAAATATAAAGTATGGAGGCTGGGGATTTAGCTCAGCGGCATAAATGCCTGCCTTGCAAGCAGGCAGTCGTGAGTTCAATCCCTGGTACCGATAAAAATGAAAAAGACAACAAAAAAAAAACTATGTAATTTTTATATTTATTGAATGTTTATAAAAAGCATCAAAATTTTCAACATTGACAATTTTTTGATGTACAAAGTCTTAAAAAAAAGGGTTTTTTTCTGTACTGAGGATCAAACTCACTTTTGCTAAGCAGGCACTTATGCTGCTGAGCTAAATCCCCAGCCCCAAAGTCTAAAAATTAACAACAGAAATAAATACCTATATGAGATGCAATAAAATACCAGCAAAACTCTACAAAAAATATACTTCAATTATCGTTGTTGTAGTCAGGGGTTGTGAGGAGAACAATTAGAATCAGGACATGAAGTTTATAATATTATTTTTTATGATGGCCACCCAGAGTTAACACAAAAAATGCAGGAAATCTATCCACAGCACCACAGCAATCCTCGGTGACACACAGGCCCCGAGTTCCTCTGATGACAAGCACAGTCAGGTACGTGCCAGGAAGCCAGTGTGAAGAGTTCATCCTGGAGACCAAGCGGCACACGTCTTCCTCTCCAGAGCCAGGGAGCAATACTCGATGTATGGACCAGAGCTTTTCCAGGAGACCTAACGGCTCAAACAGCAAGTCGTAGGAGAAGCCACAATGCCTCAACTCCTCAACATCTGCTTTCTCTTTCTCCACGTCTCTATTTATGCTGGCAACTTTCCCTGGGCAGAAGGTAGGTGGAACATCTATGCTCAGCGTCCTGCTGATTTAATTCAGCTGGCATTAAGTTGACCACCAGTTTTTAATCTATAAGGCGGTTTTCACACATGGTGACACATCTCACACACATAGATTGCTTATACTGACAGCATGCGTATTTTGCTTTCTTGGCCTTTCTGTAGGACATACTTGACATCTTAGTAGTCTTGCTATTTTGACCAGATATTCTTATATTATACAATGTGTAGTTAACAGGAGCTTTAGATATCAGTAAAATATTTAATTCTTAATAAGTAGTACACATTTAAAATATTAACATTTTCTCATCAGCTGTGTACTTACTTACAAAACCTAAGTGATGACATTGGAGATAAATATGAACTACAATGAAAATACCAATAAAACTCTATAACATAAAGAACATTTGCTTCAATTGTCATCCCAGGCAGTTCTCACACAGGACAACTGCATGTTCCACACACACGTCTTGCTTGCCCTGACATGTGCTTAGCCTTTCTTTCCTGTGTGGCAGGCCATTCTTGTCACCTCCCTTGTGTTGGAGCTTCCTGCTATATTGTGCAGTGTACACTTAGCAGGAAAATAAGATATCAAAAAGTAAAATTTCAAATATGTAATACGTGACTGGAATAGACATCAACATTTTCACATCAGCTGTCGACATGCTTACAAAACCTAAAGGTAGCACCAGAAATAAAACTTTGTGATGTACAAAGTAGATACAAAAGTCTACCACAGGAATAATCCTGGCTTCACCTATCACACTTAAGGCAGTCTTTGCACCAGAGAAATGCTTATTCCATGCCCGAGTATCACTTAACTGATAGCACGTATGTTTTGTTTTCCTGTCCCTTCCTGTAGGACACAGCTGGCACCCTCTTGGTTTGCCTGCTGTCACAGCAGGTCTGTGTGATGCTGCCCCTGCCTGCTCACCTGTCAGCTCTCCAGTGTGCGCCACAGTTTTTTAGCATAGTTCCTCGGGCAGAAGCATTTTGCTTTTCCTCTGCTATAAGTGATCTCTTATGAGCTCCAGTCCCAATCTTCTAAGAAAATTTCCGCATGGTGTTTTGCACCTGTTATTGCCTTTATAAACTATCAAACTATTTTTGCTGCACATGGTTAGGATCGAGTAAGACACAACTATGGGCCAATGGTTTGTGTTTTGAGTGACATCATAGTTGCTGTATAACTCATCAACAACGTCTACTCTGACTTTAGTTTGGCTGTGGAAAGCTCCCAGCCTCTCCCTGATCACTAACACCAAACTAGTTAAAGGACTTAAGTTTTCTGATACAGGAAACCTGAGTGGAAGAGTAAGCAAAAGTGAATGGGAGCTTTCTTAAGGAAGAAAGGAGGAGGAGAAGAAGAAGAAAAAAACTACTAGAGTCCTTCTCTGTTTGAATCCATAGCTGCAGGAAGAGAAAGGATGAGGAAAAGAAGAGAGATAAATTATGCCCCAGAGGGCACGGGGTCGGGAGCCCTAGGGAAGAAAACACCAAGAAGCCTTTGACTGGTTTTACCAGAGTTTTATATTCCTGATGTCTCTTTGTCTCCTGGTTGGCTCCCCAAGAGGAAATGTCACCAGACGGCTGGAGGGAGGTCCGCAAGGCTAAAATAAGGAATTTAACTCACCTTTCTTGTAGAATAAATTTTCAGGTTCACTGAATCCTGTCACAGAAAAGATTTTTCTGGGAAGGGTTAGCAGAAATCAAAAAGGACACACTCAAAAGAAATATATGGTGGGCCCTTGAGAGACAGGCACATTATTTCCTGGAACAAGGAATATTTATGCTTCACTGGAAGGTATCATTGACACTTGAATTAGGTAGAAATATTATAGGCAGTCAGCAAAGGCTGGGCCCTCAAAAGGGTTGTTATAACCTAAGCCCCCCTAACTATCGCGCCGAAGCCGGTGGCCCATCACAAATTGTGTTAATTGCATTAGATTGTATCAGATTGTACATTCTTCACAAAAATAGCTTTGTTTGTATCATAGCAATACCTGTAACTTGGCCTTACTGTAAATGTGTGTTTTCCTTTTCCCTCTGAGTTAATAGGCACGTGTCACCACTCCTGGCTACGCATAGCCGGGTGCAGGCAAGGTGACATGGCTGAGGGTGTGCACAATGGCAGGTGGAGCTCAGAATCCAGCCATGGGTCAGAGCCTGCTGTCAGGATAACCAGAGGACACCTGTCAGGTGTGCGTTCCCAAATCATGGCACTTCTGATGCTGTTTTCCATAGGCTTCAGTGGTAAGCGAAGGCTTGCCTCTGGCCCCAGCAATCCTGATGATGTGCTGACAGGTCCGGCTAGCTTGTGACCCAGCACAGTGGGCTTCTTTCTTCCTCCTGGAGGCTTGCCGGGAGCACCTGGGCCACAGCGCATCCTTTCCTCCCCTGGGGACGGAGCTGCAGCACTAGCCTCCGGCCCCTTCCAAAGTCCCTGTGTCCACACAGGCCTGGGACCTGCTGGACAGCTTCTGGTCTCCCAGGTACAGGGGTACTGGGAGGTGGGGTGACATGGGCACATGAGGTGATGAGGGGACTTTGGGGACAGCATGTGAGGTGAAGACGAGGCAAATGGGACCTGAAGGGTCACATGCAGACACAAGATGACACGGAGACAGAAGACGAAGGACACAGGGTGCTTCCTGGTCAGGCAGGCGGCGATACACCAGGCTGTTTGGGGCCTCCTTGGTGGCCCAGAAGAACTGGCAGGCGCTAGTTCTCAATGCCCCATTTATTGAACATAACTGCACAGGCAGCAGTCCCTCAGGTCTCTGGACAGTGCCACCAGCTCTGTCCCTTTACCGTGTTCACAGCAGTGGCAGCCAGATGGCTTCACCTTGGCGCAGGTGCAATGTCTGTGTCCTGGGTACCACTTTCCCTGGCGGCAGGGCCAGATGGCAGTGGTGGCAGCTGACACAGCTACTACACATGGTGACAGGGCAGAGCACGCCAGACTTGCCCTATGATGTCCTAACACAGTGACTGAGGGCACTGATGGTGTATGTGTGCACACAGTGGACCCTCAGACAAGGTGTCCAATGGCCATCTGTGCTCGGTGCTGCTGGCCCTGACCATCAGGAGCCACAGCTCTGCATTGCCACCCAGGTAGCACCTCCTCAGGAAGATGGGCACTGCCACCACTAGGACCAGCTGATGCGGAACTGCTCTCCCATGGACAGTGCAACAGGGACTGCCAAGATCTGGAGGAGGAAGAAGGAAACCTGAGCCCTGGATGGCTGCTCCCTGCCACAGGGGGACGTGGAGTCCACTGGCGGTGCGTGGCTGCTGCCACTGGCTACTGCTCTCTGCCACTCTCCCATGTGGTCCACAGCCCCACACTCACCCCGCTGCCACCCAGATGTGCACATGGGGAGCGCTGGGTCCAGGCATTCTCTGTACTCAATGCAAGCTGGTGGCACTGGGTCATGGTATCCCAAACACCTTCCCGCACCCACCCTGGGGACACCACCCATGCCGTTTCCCCCTCTTGCCTTGGTGTCAGGGCTGTAGGTGAAGTTGGAGACAGGGATGTTGTTGGACAGGACCTGCCGGGGGGCTTGGGCCACCCCCAGGACAGTCACCTTCCCCAGCTGCAGGTCGGCCCCCTCCCTGGTCAGGCGCTCCACCTGGTTCACGATGGTGTTCTGGCCAGACAGAGACAAAGTGAGAGTACAGAAGGAACAGATATGAAGGGGCAAGGACTCCCAGTGTTAGGGAGCCACTCTGTGTGGGCATGAAAAGACAGGGCACTTGACCCTGGGGCAACCCCAGGATGTCTGGCACAGTGCCCGCCTGGGGATGGTGGCCAGCTGGGACCCCTCCTGGCATCCCTCGCCCCTCAGCAGTTCCCTCCCCACTGGCCTCAGGGACATGCCCAGGACTCACATTTCTGGCCAGGAAGATGACCTGTGTGTAGGCCCCGCTTTCCAGCACCCCGAGGCTGTCCCCATCGTCCCAGAACAGCTCCCCATGGGCCTCGCCACTCACTGTCAAGGCCACAGCCAGGGCCATGGGCTGCTTGCGGGACTCTGTGGTTGTGAGGCCAGGGGCCTAGGAAGGAGGTGGACACGTCATGGCCTGACCCTGGTGACAGCCTCCAGGATGGGCTGCAAGAAGACAGGTGTGCAGGGAGGCCTGGGTGACATCCTGGCCAAGATTAGGGGACCTGAGTCTGTCCCCACTTCAAGCACCGCCCATCCCTCAAGCAGCTGGGCCCCTGACACAGACCTCCTAGGGGACAGGGAAGTGTGCCCTGGCCTCCCCTCACTGGCTCCCTGTATCCTCCCCCACCTGCACGCCCTCCTGAGTCCCCTGGGCCCCACTGGGCTGTCCACACCTCCACCTCGCTGTCCAGCCCAGGTACCTGCAGAGGCACAATGTACCCAGCCCGCAGGTGGACGTTGATGGTGTCCAGGGGGGCTGAAAGTGTCACCCACTGCCCTTCACTGTGGATGGCGGGGCTGGGGGATGCTGAGGGCGGAAGTGGGAGGCTGCCCAGGGCCTCTACTGGTACCTGGAGGGAGGAGTCAAGTTAGAAGGGGCCCAGGCAGCCCCCATCCTGGTCCCCAGGACATGTGTGGAAGCCTGAGAGATGCTGGGTGTGACCACAGGACATTTGTGGGACGGAGCCTGAGAGGTCTAGACTCAGGGTCAGGAAGTCAGAGGATGCCTAGGCTCAGCCTCAGCAACAGCTGAAGGGCCCTGGGGAGCTCCTCACACTGCCTCAATTTCCTCTTGTAGAAAATGTGGTTACTGCCAGGAACTGAGAGGTCGATGTGGGGGGACCAGAAGCTGCCAGGAGTCATGAGCAGGTGCACCTCTCGCAAGTGAGTCACCGAGCCGGGTCAGCAGGACAGCACCCCTTCCAGGTTTTAGGGTCCCCTGACTCACCATCTGCAGGTCATACCACGTGCCCAAGGGAAAGTAGCCAGTGACTTGGGTCTTCCCGGGCTCGAGCACTGGGGTGATGAGCAAAGCCTCCCCCCACAAGAGCTGGCGGTCCACAGTCCAGGTGCTGGGGTCCTGGGGGAACCTTCAAAGAGGGGAGTGGGCATGTGGGCTGGGGCTAATGGCTCGTCTGTGGTACTGGCCTTGCAGGGAGCTGGAATTCCCATCTCTGTGGAGCCAGGAACCACTTTATCAATGCCTTCTAACCTGTTCACCATTACATTCTGTTTTAAACAGTCTGAATTTTTTCCTAGCCAGAGATTACATTTTTGCATTTCTGCTCAGTGAAACCGTCCTTTTCTTTTTGAATTATGCCTCCTTCCTCTTGCTCCAATGCTCAGGAAGCTGTCCACTCCAGAGCATGGATAAGCGGTCAATGATCACCGATGGTGTTTTCTACAGCTTACTGTTGACACCTAACCGTTTAATTCCTCTGGAACTTGGTTTGAGGAGAAGGCACCATGGCATCTATGGAGAGCTAACAAGTCTGAGACTCGGTCTTCTACCCAAGGACCATAGTCAGTCCTCTGTGGGGTCACCCCCTGAGCTTCCTGCCATTCTCCCTTAGCTCCACAGGATCCCACAGGACTGTCCTATCCCTGCCTCGCCATGGAGGCGGGTGGGTTGGTACCCAGTGTTCCTGATCCCGCTGTCCACATCGTGGATGCCCCAGCCCTGAGCTGTGATCCAGTGAGGCTGGGGCCACCTTGGCCTTATTCAGCTGCAATCTGCTCGAGTATCAGGAAAACAACCCGCAGTAGGGCAAGGTGCCCTGGCCAGCTCCCGCACCCCTGGGTGCCTCTGGGGCATCATTTCCTGATTAGGTCACTCACTCCAGGAAGAGGGGTCGGGCGACCGTCTGGCCCCTGGCGTGGGCGCCGTGGAACAGCGTGTAGAGATAGGGCAGCAGTGCGTAGCGCAGGGCGAAGGCCTTCCTCATGGCCTGCTGCGCGGGCTCGCTGAACCTGTATGGTTCCTGGGGCTGTGCGGCCAGAGGGGAAAGGGGGCACCTGAGGTCCTGGTCCCATACAGTGGGTGCCTTGGTTGCTCCTTGGTCACCCAGTAGGGAGGACAATAGGGTGGGGCTTCTAGGGCAGGGCCAGGTCTCAGGCTGGGGGGCTCCCTTTGGCCCCAGGTTCTTCCCTGCTCCCCACTGCCCACCACACCTGGCTGTGCAGGTCATTGTGGTTTCGCATGAAGGGGTAGAAGGCTCCTAGCTGGGTCCAGCGCACACACAGCTCCTCTGAGGTGTTGCCCAGGAAGCCGCAGATGTCTGCCCCGACCAGGGGCACCCCCAGCAGGTTAAACTGCAGGACTTCTGTGAGGACAGAGGGGACTGGCTTCAGGCTGTTGCAGCAGACAGTTCAGTCCAGGAAACTGGACAGAGGCTTGCAGAGCTGCTGGGGGTGTGGCTCCTTCTGACTAGTCAGGACCACGCTAACCCATCTGCTGCTCGACCAGCAACGATATCCTGCCATGGGGGCTGCTTCCTGACAGTGGGGGCAGGCAAAGCAAGCTAGACCCCATTTTTGAACTGTGTCACCCAAAACATCAAGTCCCTAACCCAGTACATGACAGGGTGGCCTTCTTAGAAACAGGGTGTTTGCAGATGTAACAGTGGAGATGAGGTCCTTCAGGTTGGCACCGATCCAACAACTGATGTCCTTAGAACAGGAAATTGCTACGTGGAGATAGACATATAGGGACCCTC